AAAAAAAAAAAAAAAAACAAACACGCAAAAAACACTACCGATCTTTTTTAAAAAATAAATAGGTAAAAAAAGTAAAAGTGTTTGTCATCTACTTTGAATGAGTGACTGCACACAGCGCCGCGCCTCGATGTCTCTCGTTTTTATTATTTGCGTTTTGCATAATTACGATTGCTCGCCATTATCTGACGCCCCCTCCCCCATTCCCCCTTCAGAGCAGTGGAGCCGCGGGAAAAATATCACGATTCTGCTCGGTATGGGGCATTCTACGTGTGCGACCATAGGCGCTCGGAATGAAGGGCGAGGGGGTGTCCCCCCCCCGACCACCCCCTCACCGTATAGCTTGGAGCGAGTGTCAAGCTGCAAAGAGATTATTGTACACGGACCGACACGACGGACCGGTCCCTTTGTTGCTGGTCGCCGCCTCGGGTGTTCATTAAGGCAGACGACAAGGGATGCATTTTCTCCACGCTAAATGTATATTTGTATTTTTTTAAATGTTTGTGATAAAGTTGAACCTACGTTTCGCTTCGTGCGAATTTTTTACATTATTGATTAACAAAAGTGTGCAACTGGCGTAAACACTATGAAAGTGCTCATCAACACTTACTTTGCTTTCTTTCAAGTGGTTGACTTAATATTTGAATACTAGTAAAAAGGGGTTTAAACACTCTTAAGCGTCGAAACCAAACCATAGCCAACCCCGAAGGCAAACACTCTTTGGTGAGCAACTTTACTGTTGAACAATTTCTTAGTATCCAAACAACTAGTCGAACACTTAAAAGTCAGCAAAATAGTGTAGAACATGCGCATGTGCACGCCGGTTGAATACTTTATTTATCTGTGTAAACGTTCGCTCGTACAACGAATGTACAAAAGTGTTTCAAATCAACGCAGAAACGTTTGCAAAGACTGTGACTGCTTCAATCTGTACAAATAAAAGAAATAAAAAGGAGGAGCGAGAGAGGGGGGGCGTTTTCTCCTTCCGGCAGAGACAGTCTTTAAGGGACTAGCTGTCTAAAAAGATGCCTAGTTAGTGTGTGCGAACCCAAAATGGAGACGATGACTAATTTCTCGCAGTTGAAAGATCAAATTTTGTGACAGTCTCCCCTTGCCGTGTTTGTCGTGTAAAAACGACGACAGAATTAAACATTGAAAAATCAGTGTCGAGCGGAGCTGCTCGCGGTGTGCGGCTCGGCCACGTTCGCTGGCCTGGAAGACGGGCAAGGGGAACCCCTGTAGAGTAGCATTAGCCTCCCGAATAAGGGCGTCCAAAGGGACGCCCACTTGCGAGAGGGGTCTGCACCGGCAGCAGGGGGGTGAGGGGGGGGGGGCGTTCCCCACATTCCTGCATCGGGGTGCGCGAGAGAACCGCTCTCTCTTTCCCTCTCAAGGGGAAGGTGGAAACGAGCAGCCGCCTCTCCGTGCAGTCGCCCTTTTCCTTTTTTATTTTCCCCCTTTCCGCGTCGCTTTTTCGCCACACAAGGCACGTCTCACTCGTTACAATCGATACACATTGATAACTGCCTATTGACGCATGTCGATCACTAGTTGATGGCGCCACTCCGTTTTCAGTTTCCATGGAACATTGTCGAAGCGAACTTTTACATTAAAGGTTCCCTCGCCATCGGATTCACTGTAGAATTTTAGACCAAACAAGCCCATTTAGGGTTCGGACGACTTCGGGTTCGGGTTTGGGGTACAAATAAACAACATGCACTGAAAAAAACGTTAACTTGCAGGTTCTGAGAGAACCCCGGGCTTGGGCTCATAGAACCCTATCACCTCACAGCAAATCCGCCATAGAAAAATTTAAATTGCAATTTCGCTTAGAATACTCGACAAAAAGTGAAATACGCGCGGCGTCATCATCTAGTGATCGACAGCGTATTTGATCAATTGCATAGTGTTAAACGGAAACCGTGTTTTTTTAAAAAAAATTCTTTGCGACAATAAAGTGTGTTGGCGTTAGTTCCTCGAGTTGGTTGTTTTGCTCAAACTTTCCACAGTGCGACGGCTGTGGGTGGAAGGTACGGCACGGGCTTCGCTCCTCAATCCGCTTTGGTATCGATTGAGACGCCAGAGACGGCTGGAATTACACGGCTAATTCGTGGCTGAGCTGAAGGGGGGGGGGGGGGGTCCGGGCCTTTAGTGCTCACGCCTGGGCGCCCCCATTGCACCTCCGGCTCCGGAGCCTCAGTCGAGTACAATTGACAGAGGACGTCAAATCATTATGCAAGGCCACAACGTCCACGTTGCTATGCTCTGAAAACTCAGCGATGCACATTGTGCTGATACGTCAACCATCACCGATAATCACGTTGAGGTCTTTGGCTGATATTTCCTTTCAGAAAGATACCATTGGATAGTGGGTGGCATTTCCAGATTCCTCGTGGAAAGAGCTTTAAAACGAACTACTGTGTAATAGGGTACAAATTGACCATTATTACAACACTTTTTAACATTACCCCGCGCATTACCCCGACATTTTCGAAAGGCGGCCCATCTCGGTAGTGAGCCTGTGACTCGTTCGTGGTTGTCGGGGGCGCTACACACGGTAAGCGGTTGTTCCTAGCAGCCTAGGTGGTGAGCTACTTGAAATAGGGGGTATAGAACATTTGTCATGAGGATTCTGGAAATGCAATCCACTTTTGAATGGCACCAACCGAACGGAGATATAAGCCAAAAACGTAAACGATAGCATGTATACTGTGGAGTTTTCAGAGTAGAGGCCGCAGGATTGTAAAACAGCCATAAAAGAATGCCAGGCGTGACAGGCGACAGTTTATGGACTTTAACATGTTACAATTTTCACACCTTACTAAACATGTCTGCATATTACTCCGTATCGACTTGTAATTTATTGACGACCAAGGATGGGCTGTCGTATATTTCCAAACATTTTTTTGAATCGAAATTATAGAAATATGTTGTACATTTACGAAGACACTTTTAACAGCTTTAAAGCGTGTGAATATTTGCACAGCACAACTTTACTCCTGATCAGAGTATAGCAATGCTATACATTTTGCCGAGTGGTCACGTGGTCACGTTGCCGTCGGCCGGTAGAGTGTGAACCTATTCCGATCGAGATCACGACAAGCCTCGGACAAGCCTAACTCGTGCTGCTAATGAGAGCACACCCACTGACGACCCTCTCATGACCAGCAACATTTTTCATTCTTGTAATAAGTGGACGACGTCAACGGAATGTTTAAATGTTTCAATGGGCAGAATTATATACACGTATCGACGCTTGGTAGACTGTCTCTTTATGATAAATTTCTTTATACCGAACGAACAGCACTGCAAACTGGTGGGCGTCTTATGACGGTAAAATATTGGTGTTCTCTGAAGAGATCTGGATCGCGCCAAAAAAGGAATTTCACTATCACACAAGCCAGTGCAGAAGTCGACACCCACGCAGAAAAATGATTAGCAGTGACAACCATCTTACGGTTGGCTCGGGGAGCACCATAAAAGATGGTTAAGACTACAATGACAACCTGATGGAAACCACATTGGAAAAACAAGACGCTGAGTCGTGCACAATCTGGAGCACCGCTAACCAAATTCTAAGTTTAGTGCTCCTGTAAAGGCACGAAATGGCCGTAAATGTGCCAAAAATTAGTGCCTTTTAAAGGTAGAACTTAGCACCTTTGTTTTTCTAGTGCACGATAATGTTGCATCAACCATGCTCCCTTAATAGACCATTCGATGGTCACTATAGCCAATCATTTTTCTAGGTGACGACATACTGCATTACGTGAATAGTTTCCCTAAAAAAAAAAAAAAAAGCTCAATTGTAGGAAATACGACTCTCATGATCGTTGGGCCGAGTCAAAAAGTCACGAGCGAGGCGCTATAAAGGGGCCCGGTGCGCCCGCCGCGGGCACCACTTGCAACCCAAAAGACCCAAACACGAGACGAGATGGCCCGCATCGCCCTCCTGCTTCTGACCGCCGGGGTCGCCCTGGTGCGTACATCACAGGGCCAGGGACGGGGGTCAGCTACACTACAACCCTGAGAGGTCCCATATCGGTGTTCATTGAGAAAATTCTAGTGACTGAAAACTAATTTTAAGTAAACTGCAAAATGATTTGTGTTCCGGCGGGGGTTTCACGCCCCCCTTCTTCCTGGACAAAAATCGTTCCGACGCGACACTGTAACATTTTGAGGTAGAACACGAAGAAGTGCAGACTTTATACTAGAAAATTTATAACAAAATAATTCACATTTTTTTTAAAGAAACGGAGCACTGATAAATCAAGTCTACCCTCGAACATCTTATGAGAAGTTCACGTATACAACATTGCCATGTTTGATAATGTTGATTGAAGTAAGGGATCGCTCAGAGAGTACGTCCGTCCGCACGCTGTCATAGCGCCTGATAGGTAGGCAACATATTGCCTGCAGTGCATGCGTGTATTGTGGCGTGGCCTACTTGACTCTCGCAGGCGCTTGGCTCCCGTAACTTGCGCTGTGAATCTGAGGATAACGGAACGGACGCACTTTCTGGACGATCCCTAAGGTACGCTTTTCGCTAATCAGCGGTGCTCACCACTATGTACTCAGCTGGTGGCCGCGGATCTGGTGTCGTTCGACCTGGCGGAGTTCAGGGCCAGGTTCCAGAAGGGCACGCCCTACATCGACTCGGCCTGCGCCCACATGGAGCCGTTCGTGTCCAAGATCAACGCCCTGGAGGCCGTGCAGAGGGACCGCCTGGCCGTGTGCCTGTACGAGGCCGCCCTGAACGCCTTGGTAAGTGACTTGCACGGCCTCCCCTTCCGCTGTCAAGGAAGTTCGGCAGGTTTTGTACACGGCGGTACACGTTTGTCCCTCTCTCTCAGGACCAGGACAGCACCGAAAAGGAGATGTTCGAAGAGATCGGCGGTTGCCTCTTCGTGTGGAGCGACACCGCGACGGAAACCTACAATCTGTACAACGAAATCCTCGCGATTTTCGAGACTGCCACCTCTAAGAAGAGCGCCTAGCGCACGCCACGCAGTCGTGCTTATTTCGTTCCAAATAGATACATATGCAAGTGGCTTATACAGCTCACAGCGTTCAATCTGCTCTGTTCATTTCGCTGACCAAAAAGCCAACAGGATGTGTGTGTGTATGTGTGTGAAAGAGAGAGAGAGAGAGAGAGAGAGAGAGAGAGAGAGAGAGAGAGAAGAAAATTTCTCGACGACAAACTCACGGACGCTTGGAGTAAAAGGGATCGTGGGGTCGCTTGTGTCTCTCGTAGGGGAGGGCGGTGCCGCGGCGGAGTCAAGCCAGCCGGAGACGGAGTGGAGACGGTATGGAGGCAGTGGAGACGGTATGGAGACAGCGGGGCGCGGCCGCCTTGGGGCTCTCTTGGCTCGAAACGGGCGAGGCGGGGGCGCTGGCGCAGCTCAAACTGAGAGAGGCCATCCGTGGAGGAACTGCGGCCGCCGGGGGATATGGGGGAGGGGGGAGGAGAGGCAGGGGGAAAGGCGTTTTCTGTTGCGCTCCGACCCGGCCCCTGCGCGTCGACCCAGACCCCAAACACTTCGTGTGAGTCCCTCCCCTCCCCCCC